TGGAGCAGCATGGGCAACAATGGTATCTCAGGTATGCGAGAATGCCTGATAATATATTTGCACAGATTTTGACACTCTCATCATAATCAATCAATCAATCAATCAACAAGCCGTTAAAGTCCTATTAAGTGGGGTTGGCTATAAAGATCACATGTCGCCATCGTGCTCGATCAAATCACATATCCAAATTCAAATTTAAATATCTTAAATCATTTTTTATTGAGACAATATTGAGACAAATACGCAGCTTTAATTTTCTGGATATTTCGTACTCCTCTTCATTTGAGTTTTCTACTAATGCATGTTTTTCTTAGGTTGTTGCAGCTTACATGATGGTGCAAGCTCTGAACAGCAAGGGATATAAAGGTTTTGCCATCTCTATTCCATCACCTGATGAACTCTATCAGATATTCACGCTTGCAGCTCCAGTTTTCGTGACAATGATGTCAAAGGTTTTAATATCTTTCATCATGCTGGTTTTCAGTTATCACTTATTTCCCTGCAATTTCTTAAGCATTCTATAATTTAGGTGGCGTTTTACTCTCTGCTTGTGTACTTTGCAACATCTATGGGTACAAAAATCGGTGCAGCTCATCAGGTTTGGATTTATCATTTATCATGTGAAAATTCTTCCATCTAATGTGGCATAGTTTTCTCAACCCTCCTAACTTCCTGTTTTCCAGGTCATGATACAAGTTTACTGTATGTGTACTGTATGGGGTGAGCCTCTCTCTCAAACAGCCCAGTCTTTTATGCCTGAGTTGCTCTACGGAGATAGTCGAAATTTACCAAAGGTTGCAATTCTTAATTATTTGACTTCAATTATTGATACATGCGCATTTATGCTATTTTTTTCTCCCTAATATTTGCAAGATCCTTGAGCATGCAATACAACATAGGGTTTTGAAATTTTCATTTGAGACTCAATGACAACATGTCTTTCAATTATTCATTCCTTTATTTTTCTTTTTCTTTTTTTATTTCCCTTTTTATTTTATTGCATTTCTAATATTTGAAGTGGTCTAATAGAATTTGATAATAAATGTATCATTTGAAACATCATAACATATATTCTCTAAAATGTTTGTGTGATGACAGGCCCGGACATTACTGAAATCATTGGTCATTATTGGCGCGCTAACTGGACTTGTATTGGGATGCATTGGAACATCAGTTCCTTGGCTATTCCCTGAAATATTTTCCCATGATCCTGAGGTGACATTGGAGGTAACGTATTTCCCTCCTTTCTTCTCACTTCTTTCCCTCCTCCCTTCTCTCTTTCCTTTTGAATCAACACGAAAAGAATTCAAGAATTACGGGTTTTTTTTGCTGCTAGGCCAATAATTGTTAAATTGTTCGATGAGGCGTGAAGTTTATTGAAATTATGTCGTTAAAAGAAATGCGGCATCCAATTTACTTTGACAGCTGCTATTGTTAAATTGTTCGACTAATGTGATCGGGTCATAAGAACAGCAACATCAAACGTTATTTCTTTGCAATATTTTGGAAAACAAATTGTGTTGTTAATGTATTAGTAATGACGGGGTTGACTTCAATGTAGAATATTTAAAGTTGATGCGTTTAATGTTTTGTCCTTTACTTGCAGATGCACAAGGTGTTGATACCTTACTTCCTTGCATTGTGCATCACGCCCAGTACTCATAGCCTTGAGGGTACTCTACTGGTATGTTCTATGTTCTGTCCTATGTTGCCCTCAACTTTAAATCTTCTTTCTGATGACCAATTTAGCTGTAGATATTCTGACCTCATAATTGGATGGACATTTGGCAAGCTATGAGTTACTGCAGGGTGACCAAATATCTTGTTTGTGTGGTGAAGAAAATAGTCACGGTTTCATTCATTGTTGAATATGCTGTATTCAAGTTATGGTTGAATCATTTATAGAAAATAATAATTTGTTTTAGCAATGGGGAATTGAGATGAAGATGATTGCTTTATTCACATTCCTATGGTGTAGAAAGGGCTCTAGACCTAAACTTTGTGTAACTATTATAATGAGTTCTATATTGGAAGTTCAGAATTCAGATTCTCCAGAAGTTTTACGTGTAATTCCTGCCATTGTTCCTTAACATTTATAATTTTGCTGCATTATGGAGCTACATGATGGTCGTTCCAGATTTTTTGAAAATTAATATATTATTTCTATTAAGTTATATAGCTGCCGGTCCTCTGTTTCTTTTGGTTTATGAGGCTCTCATTAAACATGTGATGGAACAATGATCTATGTAGTTTTTAAAGGTTATGATAGTCTTGTATCTGACACGAGCATGTTAACTATACAGGCTGGACGAGACTTGAAGTTCATTAGTACGTCGATGACTGGAATCTTTTGTCTAGGCTCCCTTTCCCTATTGGTATGCTCTTTTTTTGTAGATTTGTTTCTGATTTTCATGGGCTCAAGTTACTCATTCCCTTGACCAAACGATTGAAATGTTGAGTTACATACAAAAACTACCTCTTTGCGAGCAATAATTCGCCTAATCAATTTCAATTGTCCTTGGAATATATTCGGCTGGAATATCGGAAGGGAGAAAAGAATTTACAAAAAAAAGGAATTCCTAACAAATGAGTTAATTCTCGAATCCAATTGAATCTAACGGTTTATGTTAGGTAAAAATGGCAGTTATATGTGATATATGAACTAATCAATATCTAATATCTTTCAGTAATATTTTCTGCTTCTTTTTTAATTTTATCAACCGTTTTGTTCACTATCATGTATATGTAGCTGCTGAGCTCAAATGGCTATGGTTTAACTGGGTGTTGGTTTACACTCGTTGGATTCCAATGGGTAAGTCTGATTTCCCGACTTTTCATGGTCCCTCGATCATCATATTGTTTTGAAATATCTGAATTAAGATTTGACTTTAATTTCTCTGCCCAGTCTCGTTTTCTAATTGCTCTAAGGCGACTCACCTTAGCAAATGGGATGCTGTATTCTGAAGACTTTACGTGTTACCAACTCGAAAAGGTCAAATCTGTATAGCATATTGCATCATAAATCCATCTCAATTTGCCTATATATTGCATAAAATTCACATATTGTGCTGTCTTTGCAAAATTCTAGATGATTTGCTGTATCAAGTGCAGTTTCTTGAAATATTAGCTGTTGTATTAGTACTTAGTAGGTTGTTGTATTCAGTAGCACAAGTAACTTTCCATGTAATGTAATAGGAATCTGATTATCATGTAATCACAAACAATCATCACTACATTATGCCCCTGGAATATTAGAATCATGATACAGTGGAATTATACAAATTTTTCAAGAAACTACTGAACAAAGTTTCTTTTTTTTTTTCTTTTTTTTTTACCAAGGTTTTGAGATCAATAATAAAGACAACTATTATTGCATTTAAACTTATGATCAGGCTGAATTTATTTATGGCAATGGTAAATTTTCTCACTGCCAAGACCATAATCCTTCTTGCAAGGAGGGTCTTTTACTCATTTTTTTTATAAACTTATAAGTTGTAATCAAGCTGAATTTGAAGGCAATGGTAAATTTGCTCCCTACCAAGGTCAAAAACTCTTATAAGGACTCTTTTACCCATTTTCTATGCCAATAGTCTCACTACAATCATAGTACCTGATCTGGTCCGAGATAAATGGCTCCGGTCCTTCAAAGGGTCCTTTCCGATTTGAAATGCGGATTAGCTGGTTCAGTTCGGTCCAAGCATACGAGTTCGTCGGGACCTGCAAAAGCGCTGGAATTTCTCCGGTTCAAGACCCTCCGACGCCCAAGTCAATATCTCGGAATAGATAAAAAATGATGTGTAATAAATGTAATTGTGCTTGTATTTAATGAATCGTACCTTCCTCTCGCTGAATTAACCATATATATAGTGCTTAATTGTACTGACCGAATGGCCGATATTCGCCCATCTTGCTCGGTCGACCCTTGGTCCGGTTGACCAGTGAGATGGTGATCGACCCTTGGGCCGCTCGACCGGAGGCTTTGTAGCTTGGCCCGGTCGAGGCGAGGGTCGACGGTCGACCCTCAACCCGATCGGATCGAGACTTGGTTGATTTCGGTTTTAAGGTTCACTCGACCCTGATTTTATGGTCTTTATCCGCTTGACTAGGTCGATTCTAATATCTCTATCAGTACCCATCACATCATAGGAGTAAGAGAAAAGGAAAATGAAAAGAAAAGGACTTTTATCAACTTAAAACTAGCAAATGCAGTCTTTCAGGTTTCAGCCCTCATTAAATAGATGCTTTGGTTGACAAAAACCATACAGGTAATAAGAGCAAGCTATACATAAATCAATTGGAACCTCAATATCTGCTACTTCCTCTAAATTGTTTGACTTTTCATCAAAATTTATACGTAGCAACCAGTTAATCTTATTTGTTGATAGAAACGGACGTATTAAATAATAACTTTATTCTAAAGAAGCATGGGTGTTTGGTCTAGTGGTATGATTCTCGCTTCGGGTGCGAGAGGTCCCGAGTTCGATTCTCGGAACACCCCATAAAAAGTAAGTTCTTATTTAATTCTTTTTTTTTTATTTATATTATTTTGTTTTCCTTTTCTTTTATTTTTTCTTCCACATTGGCTTTTTCCAGACTCTATACATCAGAATTCAGACATGATTGATTGTTTGATGGATTGTATAATGGAAGAAAGCCATGCCAAAATACAATTAGGGCGTCCCCAATAGTTGGCTATTTGACTAACTATTATGACGTGGACAGGGGAAAAGTAGGAGAGAGTAGTCACTAGCGACGAACAAATAGCTTATCTATTTCACGTAGCCCAATATCATGTGAGAGGAGTACGTGGGTCCAATAGTGTAAAATAGTTATTTTTCTTATTTCTTACATCCACGTCAACTGACCATATAGCTAGTAAAATGTGTATTGTTATTTTATTTTTATTTTTTTGTTTGACTGTCTTTTTTTTTTTATGAAAAAATGAAAGCTGGGCCAATAAATTCTTTGATTTCTTTTTTAAATTCCAAGCAACTCAAAAGAGAGTGTTATATTATCTTTGGAAAATACTACAATCCCGTCACGGAATGGGTTCCGTGAGAAATTTTAGCCTTTAAATATGCATGTGAGTTAGTTATTTTAGATAATCCATGATTATAATCTTTCACGGAACCATTCTGTGACGAGACTGTAACACTTTACTTTACTCTTGTCGTTATGTAATTCTTAACAACGATATAATATATGATTCAGTGAGTAATTCGGAATGATTTGAACGTAAAGCATGTAAGGTTGAATCAACAATGGCCCCGGTCCGAGGTGAACCGAGGTGAAGAGCCGTGATGGGCTTTTACGTGTTACGTAGTAAAGGGTTTACAGTTCGGTAATGTTTAGAAAAACTGAGAGAGATCGATCCCTTTACAATTGTCATAGGTCCGCTATTTATAGTAGTTTTGGACTGAGGCATCGGGATCCGCGTATTACTTTTTGACTAAAGTGACTTTTTATGGGCGGCTCGAGGCAGGGGGCCCCACGTAAATGATGATAGATCTTGTGGAGTAGAAGAGCCTCTCGTAGACGCCTTGTCACCTGCTTAAGGAGGTGACGACCTCGGTTCAAGTTGTCCTCGGTGGATGTTGATCTCGGTAATCGTCGATCACTTCGGTCTTCGGTGGTTCAGACCGGTTCTTTGGTGTAGGTCGGTGCGGTTCTGATTCATGTCGGTTTAACTGTTAATCACGTTTAATAGGAGGCTCAAAACCTCTTTACAGCGTCTTGCCGAGTCGGATGATAACAGAGAGGCCCCCAACATCGATGGGCATACGGAGTGATGGTCGTTGATGTTGTAACATACCAGGTACTTAGAGACACTGGATCGGCAAGAAGTCGGTGGTACGATGTGGTCTATGGTGTTCGGAGGATCATCTTCGGTCGATTTACCGATATGACCGAAGTGGATCATTTGTCCGAAGTGTGGACTGTATGCCGAGGTGGAGACACTTGGTGAATTTTGGATGGTCTGCGAGCAGTTAATGACAGAAGGGATGAACGGTCGTAACGGTCAACGAGTAAATGTGTGGGCCGAACGGTCGCGCCGTAATGGTCTTAAAGGAGGTAACGGTCGACTTTAATAGG